AAATGGTGTGTGGTATCAAACCCATACACAGACATATGCTGTCGGGACACTTTTTGTAGATAATGATGAGTTCTGCAAACTCGTAGTAAATGATTTTGTTCTATCATCAATAGTTTTCGCAGCGCACGCGACGTAAGGAATTTTTCAGATCATTTTTATATATACTTTCCCAGCCTGTGGATGCGTGTCCAGCTCCTTGCCCCGTTGGAGCACCCTCTCCACGACAGGCCTCCGCCCCTCCAGCTCCGCCCTCAGCTTGGCGTGTTTCTTCTGCACGTGGCAGATGAAGCGGCGGCCTAGCGCCCCGACACCCAAGCTAGCTCTCCTGAAACCTCGGCAGTGTGCTTGTGTAGTCTGTGGAGGATTTGGTTGAATAAAATTAGTCCTCAAATTGATTATGTACTATTACTATCCTACTAATATTATAATTGCGAAGTTTGTGAGTGTGTATGTATTTATTTATTTATTTAAGCACACAAACAGAATATAAGCCGGAATACATATGAGTTACAGTCTAAAATTATTTTTAGCTTGATTATATTCCTAAGTATGTGTCACGGCATAATCAATATAGGAAAATGTATGTTTGTTAGGTGCTACATTATTTAGGTACAATTTAAGACTAATGAATAAATAGGAAAATGTATGTTTGTTACTTCTTCACGCTCAAACGGCTGAACCGATTTTGATAAAATTTTATGTACAGGAAGCTGACGTCCAGGAATAACACATAGGCTACTTTACATCCCGGAAATCTCGTAAATCCGCGGGTAAAACCGCGGGGCGCAGCTGATATGGTATAAATTATAAAACAGTTGTTTTTCTTGTCCCTACATCCGAATGCATTCTTAATAACTTAAAACTACGCAGTGGTAATGGTGCAGTTTTTTTTGAAAGATAGATTGTTTGAAGAGGAAGGTTTGTAATGCTATCCTTAAATAAGTGGAGAATCCTTATCCAGTTAACTCGGCGAGAGGCGCGCCCCATATACCAACACTGACTGTCGCTACTGGGTAAAAAATACCACAATAATATTAATGTAAGAACTAGAGTTATTTTATGGATAATTAAATATAACGAAATTTTATATTATATTGTGTTACATTTTCAATTAAACAAAACATTTTAAAACATAGCCCAAAAGCTCAGCCATTTTGTGCACAAAACGAAATATTTGCGAGTTTGGCTGGAGGGCTCTTTCGTAATATTATTATTTTGCTCGCCATTACCACCAAGTAAAATATTATTTTACTTTACATAAATGTATGTAGGCAGGTTTAAGATTGTAGATTTACACTTAATTTGTGGCAATACAAGAGACACAGCCAACACCTTCAAGTAATCTCACGATTTGCTTTATTAATCGAACCGCCGAACATCTGTCGAAAGGTATCTAAAATGCGCTGCACAACATTACTTACAAAAATAAATATTTTCGAAAGTATGCACTATGTGGTAAATTTTACTCGGTAGCGCCTCCCGCCGAGTTAAATAACTTTAATAAAATTTTGATTTAAAATAGATCTATGGCCCTTTACAGTAAATATTTTAATCTTTATACCCGTCCCGGCTCAATTGTATATATGTATTACATACATATATATTGTTCCGTCAACCGTTAATCATTTCTTATATAATGTTGTATTGAATCATATTTTAGTTATATCGTATACTGACTGTAGACTAGTTTCCAGCGCCTGTCTCCTCTCGGCTGCTCGAGGGCGGAGCGCCCGGGCGGCCTGCAGCAGCGCAGCGGAGTCTCTCTCGATGGCCGCGCCGTCGAAGTGACCACTGGAGACCAGGTCGGAGCCCTGGGCTGCAAGGGACTCCGCTCGTTGTTCGCATTGACTCAACTCTTGTTCCAGAGCCTGTAAACATGTATGTTACTATTGAATATTATATAAATATACATATATTATGTTCTAGTAAATACAACGAGGACGAAATCTCATTTTTCTGTAAACAATAATTGTTTTTATCAATACACATTTCTAAACAATATAATTCTACTTGTTTTACTTTAAAACAAATTGTTTTCTCGCCTGAGGAGCCCTTAGTTTAAATCTAGTTATTAAAGCACCAGCAAGTAGCTCTTTACACTTTGATTTTATAAAAAGAATCTTAGCAAAAAAAGAAATCTTTAAAACCACATCATCACTCTCACACTGACAGTTACTTCAAATTATATCAGTTAGCTGGCATAACTACGACAGATAATTATTTGAAAAGCAATACTATACAGGGTGACTGGTGAATTACTATCAATATTTAAGGAGAATACTCGGTACATGATTCTCATTCGAATTATGTAAAAAAAATTGGTACTTAATTTTTGACCAAATTTCCGTATAAATAAATAAGGTGTGGACACGTTCCAAGTGTTCCAAGTGTCGACGCGTGCGGCAGCGTGCTGATAGAAAACCACGCCGCCAAACGCGTATGTGTGTGTGTGTGTGTATACCTAATCTGTAGGGTTTTCACACGATGCGAAATTAATTACATAACTTTTGGTTAACTTTACTTAGAAGTTTATTAATATTTATGTTATATTAATTTTTATTTTGTCATATATGATCGTCAAATATCACGTCCTCAAGTATCGATAGTAATTCACCAGTCACCCTGTATATATGTATATAGTATATCTAGTAGGTATGTATGGATATATGTTGGTCTTACAAGTAAATTATCCTAACTGATTTTGATAAAACTCTTCTATAAAGCAATTTAGACCTCATAATGACATCCATTATATTAGATACACATTAATCACCATCTGAGTAATACCTAATACACGCATGAAGTCGCAGTAAACAGCTAGTATGTGATGTACCCACCTGGTGTAGTAGCAGCAGTCTCTTGCAGGATCTCAAGTCTGAACCCAGCTCGGTGCTGTTCAGAGCTCGCTCCATCTCCGACAACCTCGCTTTGGCGTCTTTCACCGACCTGGGAAATCATGATTATATGAATATATTCAATGCATATTCATAATATAGGAGATTATATGAGATGTTTCCATCATCATCATCCTATCAGAGCCCACTGCTGAGCCTCTTCTCACATGGAGAAGGTTTGAGCATTAATCACCACGCTCGCTCAAGACGGGTTGGTGATGTCAAACTTATTATATGATATTATTGAATGTATAACCACGCTAAGGGTGATAGATGTATTAGATACATTTAACAAGATTAGAACTTACAATCTGTACATAACGCGGTCCAGATTTTATGTTTTACTGAGAGATCATAAACTATTTAGTGCAAGTTCGCACTTGGGTTGCTACGAAATTAAATTCAGAAATTTATTATCAATATGTGCCTAAATATATTTTATATCATACACTTCTCGTCTGCCCGTCATGACTGTTTCTTATATATACAATGAATGCAAAAACTTTTACAAGTTATTATTTCACTTGCAATGTATGTATGTTATTTTATTTTATTTTAGGTAAACAAACAATAAGATAAACTTATGGGATATAATTATACAAAATTACATATATCAGCAAAGTTTCCACTGGTAATTAGACACATATTATTAAAATTAAAAAAAGACTAATTAACATTAAAAACGTATACTGACGACTTTCTTCAGCAGTTATGAATAAAATCTAACATAAATATAATTAAACGAAACAAATAAAAAAAAAAGAAGCAACAAAAGACATAAAATTGAAGGCATTAATGGCTACATCGGTTAGTTAAATTACAGGCAAAACATTTAGAGTAAGATCCCAGAGCGATAAGACACAACTTATTTTCTAAAGCATAGAACTTTCGGTTCCAAGTAGTCTCTCATGTACTTTTTAATACCTGTACGCTTGTGGAGTTGGCTCGGTGACACCTGCGCAGGTACCAGGTGAGAAAGGTAACTAAAAATCAGAATTACTTAAGTTAAATTTAAATTACTGATTTTTATATATATTTTGTAGAATAATACTCTAAAGTAATATCAAAAAAATCTGACGCTTTCCATGGGCTAGAACTTTTGTCAGACGCCTTAAAGCTCTACAAAAAATAAATGAACTTAATTTATTTTTAAATGTCTGATTTTTATATTTGAAATAAATATTACAAAGTTATATTTAATCAGTCAGACAAATGGTAATGACCAAACATCCCCTAAACACAAAAATGACTCAACTATGAGTATGAGCGCGAGAGCACTATACATGCGTTCCAGAGCGAGTGAGACTTGGTCTCGGAAGAGAGTTTTCAGAATGGTTGAGTTCCCGTAGAATTTTCAAGATAAATCCTACGTTTTTATTTAATTCATAATGAAGTACTCTTAACCAACAACATATTTATTTGTTTATTTGAATAAAGATAAATATTAATATGTGGATACAACTTAAACAAATTATTTCGACCAAATTAGGTACCATAAAAACGGTTTTTGTGAGTTAAGGGAGCTTTCCAGTGTGACAGCCCAAAAAATCGCTGTTTTTCGCGATTTTTTTTTTAAAGAAAAAATAATCCAATCGGTCTGGTTTTTTTTCGTATATTAATTGGGTATTGAAGAATACAAAACAATTTTTATAGATCGATTTATTTATTAATTAATATCTATAAAAATAACGAAACAATGGCTGCAGAAAATACACTTGGATGTGGTGTCCACGTTGGGGGTCACAATTTTGATCTGAAACAAAAAAAACAAAAAGATTATTGATCGGTATATAATTGGCTTTCGTGCTATGGAGGCTTTTTTTTTTTATTTTTTTTTTGTAAAAATGGCACCGGTTTGAACAAAAAGTATCGATTTTAGCATTTTTTTTTGGCAGTTTTTATTACAAAAAAATAAGAAGATGTCAAAAAAAAAAAGCTTCCATAGCACGATAAACAATGACGTTAAGAATATTGTGTAAAAAATTCAACTCGATAGCTTTAAAACCCTGCCCTCCAAGTTGGACACCGTTTTGAAAAATGTTGTTTCGAGAAAAACGCGTTCAAAGTTTCAAGTGAGGAAATTTTAGGTAAATCGTTTACTCACGGTCAATCAGCGATGCCAGGTCCATACAATATCCCTTCTGCTTCTTCGAAAAGATCGTGCTCGATGGATTGTTCAGTCCGACGAGCTGTCCTCGCCTCTTTGCTATCCAGGGACGCCCGGCGGTTTGCTTGGGTTATGCGCGCATTTTTGTGTTTTGCGGCGAAATGTGCGGCGCTCGGCCCTATCGTGCATCCCATTGTCTCTAAAATTTTTAAAATCGGGTCGTAACCTTCATTGAAGGTGCACACAGCACACTGCATAGCGATTTCCACTATCTGCTTGCCGCAGAATACGTGCTTCGGGGCTAGTTGCCACACACAGTGATTGAAGCTCTCGTTATTGTTTTGAGTGTTTGCGCCCGTACATCGTTCTAAGAGATCGTCCGTTGTTAGATCTTCGTAAATCAGCTTCAAAACTTCACGTCGCTATTGCACTTTTTGCACTTCAACAGTTCCTGAAGAGCGCCGAAAACCAAAAAGAACTCCAAAATCACATAACTAAACGTTTGATCGATTCGGACTTCAAACTCTGGACTCTTTTTCGAGATTTTTGCTGCCGAAGTGCTCGCAAACGTTGGATCCGTTTCGATATCGTGTCGATTTGTTCCCTTGAAACCCGTGGATCTTTTCCGTTCCTTTCGCGGATGTCCGCTTCTCGAACCTTTTCTATCCTGCCACGCACATTTCTTTTTCGTAGATCTATCCATTTTGAATGTCGAAACCGAATTGAAAGACGAACCGGGCTTACGTTGGAAGGGACACGAGCGGGTAGGAAAGAGACAATAGAAATAACGGTCGCACGGGCAGCCGGCCGACACGGCAGCCGTAGCGATCCGTTGCCTTCTTCCAAGAAATGCTGTACAGTAACCGGAATAATATGAATTTCGGCACGAAAATTTCAGGGAATATTCGGAAGAGTGTTTACTATTCGTAAAGCAAAAAAAAAAAAAAAATTTTTTTGAAAATTTCACACTGGAAAGCTCCCTTAATCTTAAAAGATAGACATATACTGTCGCGGACTGTTTTTTAGATCATTAAAAGAGCTATTATTCTTTGCTATATATTTTTTGTGTATCTTGAACCGTTTTCACGGCGCACGCAACGGAAGGCTTCAAAGATGAAATAATTTCTCCCGTTTTTTTTACACATTTACCACTTTATCCTTGCTCCTATTGGTCGTAGCGTGATGTTATATATCCCACAGCCTTCCTCGATAAGTGGACTATCCAACACAAAAAGAATTATTCAATTCGAACCAGTAGTTTCGGAGATTAGCGCTTTCAAACAAACAAACTCTTCAGCTTTATAATATTAGTATAGATATCAGTTAACCTTTTTAATGTTCATGAAATCCGCGTTGGTATTAGATAGAAAAAATAAATATATAATGAGAGATTTTAGTGATTACGAAAATTCAAAGCTAGACACTCTTTTAAATATTTCATATCTTAAAAGTACTTGATGTAAAAACTGCTCTGGGATCAAGCGGAGCTTGATATCTCTACCAGGGGGTTGGGTCAGACCTGTAGTTGCTGTAGTTCAAGCTATGGTAAGGGACGACGGGGCAGTGGCGTGCCTAGTACAGATTTAAGGTACGGTAAACAGAATATGTTTGAAAAATAAAATAACAATTTTCATCATTTCTTCCTCTAAACATTGATAATAATGATGTCTTTCGCAAGTATTGATTTGAATTTAGAAATTAAACTAATATTTTTATTGTTTTTAACGGGCAGACGAGATGTCTGTCGTGATCACGGTTGCTGCAAAGTAATCGAAACGTCGCGTCGGAAGTATACTACCCGGCACGAAACCTGACCCAACATGGCGTCCTCTGCGCAGGTATAGTCGTTGCGAAAATCATCTACAAATCTAGTACTATCTACAAATCTAAAAATAAATAGTAAGTACGTAAAACAACACAACGGGTTAATTATTTTATCTTTAGCTTTATTAAAAACAGTAAACATCGTAAATCATTTTTCGAGCTTGTCTTTTAAGAACTATATTATTTTTCTTGGCATTTTAGTAAAATTCGTTACAATCTTCCTATAATAACAAAAGAAAGAACCCACAAAATCAACAAAACAAAAACAAACGACGGGAGACGCGGTGCCACTGCGCGGGGCCACGCATCCACCCGTTGCAATGGTTACTACTTACTAGTAATGGCGGCCTTGTTTCATGTTTGCTGTAGTAATGAGCTCCTCGCCTCAGACCACACATCAAACGACATCTAATATTTGTTACTGCGCAGGGTCAAGATTCGTCCCGGATATTATATGTAGTTGTTAAACGTAATAAAATATGTACGCGAAGAAATCAGAAAATATTAATTTCATTTAAATATTGATAAAATTCGCGCATAATGTTACAACTTACAGCAGTCCGATCAGAACGAACATCTATATACTTTATGAATCTCTTAACTAGGTACCTCTGAGCCACGAAAGTACTTAAAACGATTACGATCTGTTCCTCACAACTTTATAAAAGTTATTTAAATAGGAATATCCAGTTTAGATTCAAACATTCTTATTATTATCATTTGAAAAAAAAAAAACAAACAAGGCAAACAAAGTAACTTGTTTTTGTGTACACAACCTGCTAACTAATTAAAACTATCATAATACTTTTTATTCAAATGAATAACATTACCCTTCTTTTAGTTCAATCTTAACTGGTCACAAGTCACAAGTCACACACCTTCACTTTACACTTATTTTAATTTTATTACCTAACGACAGTACCTAACTAATTTCATTAAACACATATCACAAGCACAGAACTCACAGCCATAATTTCCCATAATTCGTTAGTAAATTAATCCACTGTTTACTAATAAAAACGTATTCACTTGTGCTTAGAAAAACAAATGACAATGTAATATTCAACAATAATAAAATGGCGAAAAAATATATGACGGCGCATCCGTCAAAAATCATACGTCAGGTTGACTTTTAGCTGTCTGAGGTTAGCCTAGTGAAGCGTCACTGTCGATGGTAGCGAGGGCGGCTATCTTTATTATACAGTTTCGTTCGGGATGACGCCCGCGCACCGCGCTCGTGACGAATCGCTGTGTATCGAAGTGATAGTTATATCTAGTGTTTCGATTTAGTTGGTGTCGTATTGAATAGACTGTACTTTATCCCTTTCAAAGTATGAGTTCCCATGAAGGCCCTCCTGTTCTTACAACGCCCTCCTACATATATGAACAGTTCACCGACCAATCAGAGAGCTCCATTTCATTTGACAATTAACGTACTTTAAACTTACAAAATAATCAGTGCTTCCAGTGTTACCATGGCGCACAGGTAGTTAAGGTGGGAAATTAAAATAAATTTATGAGCTTATTATTGGTTTTATATTCATTAAATTCATACTATTATTTAACAATAATTTAGTTTAAATAGAAATGAAATTCAATTATTGAAGTACAAATGGTCAAGATTTTTTATGTTTATTGATTGCACTTCGTTTTAAAAAGTATTAATAAATAATTAAATACTCTGAAATATTATCTTAGTAAGTACTATAAGATAACAGTATTTAAATAAATTTTTATATTTCATATTTTTTATAGATAAACCTTTGACAGAACTGAGTTAATTTTTTTTAACATATGTACTAAAATAGGATAAATTACTTAATTTAGTACCTCAATCAAGTTGAGAGACTGAATAAGCGCATCATTACTCTTTTCACATGTTTGTACTGAGTCCTCCGAGCTTTCATAATTTTTTTTAAAGTAAACTGTAGGTTTTTATTACTTGTAAGTTGTAGGTAATAATTACAGCAATATCCGTTTACACTCATGTGAATTATTCTGATGCGAATCAACGCAACGAGCATAGGCAGCAGCATTCGACTGCGGAGTTTCGTTTTGACAATAGACATCACACTAAATACTCTTTCAACATCAGAATTGCTAATTGGTAAAGAAAGAACTCTAATTAGAAAAGAAGCTAATTCTTTAAAACTTTGGTTTCCCGATGCATCTCAAAAGTTCCATATCGCAATCCAAAATTTAGTAATTTCAACATTTTTGTCTAACTCAATTGATACACAATCACGTAAAAAAATAAAGCCAAATAGGCTACCTGTAGCCAGGGGATAAAATAACATCGCCGCTCGGTTAGGGAGATAGCCCCATTGGCGCTAAATAGCCCCATCTGGCAACACTGAGTGAATTAATGTCATTTGAAATGTCTATTAAGACTTGTATTTCGTAATGTATGATAAAAAAATATGTAAATAAAAATTAAACAATATAGGTTTAGTTGTTATATGCGTAGGGTATGCTCAACAAGGTACATTATTATTACAGGTATCATTTTCATTAATTGACCGTCGAAAAACGAATATAGTGAAAGCCGCAAACAAAATGAGAATATGCAAATTTTAGCCTTTGATTCATTTATCGAAATAATATACCAAGTATTATAAAATAAAAATAAAAAGTTATATTGTTAAATAAACTTAACTTCTTTATTCTAAGATTATATTTTAGGTTACATATTATTTAATGGTTTATTATTTTCTATTTATGTAATCTTGGATTTGTATTACTCTACACCAGTCCTATATTCAGTGGTAACCATCTCATATTTTGTATCTGTTATTTCACTGGTTAATATAAATAAAAATAAATAAATCTGAAATAATACCGTTTACTATCACGTTGCCGAAGACCATATTACTGTATTTATGTACTAGTTCTGGTGATGACTGAAATGATATAGTGATGCCTGTTAGTGCCGTCTACATTTAAGGTCATGACTATGATTATGTTCAAAATAAATATTTAAATTATCAAAGCGCAGAAAAAAGCGGTATTGATGTATACCTAGCAAATGTATGGACCAAAAGGAAGATATGAATAAAGTTAAAAGTAAAAGTGATAAATAAATTATACTTTGAAAAGTTTTCATATGTTTACTTTAACATGAATACAAACAGAGTGTAGCGAATTATGTCGACTACAGCCGGAGGTTCCAAAGAAACCAAAATTTACTTATAATTACTTTATTCTAAAGACGACTTATCGTTACATGATTGAACGAAGAAATGATTTTATAATTTTAAAACTGATTTACAATGACTCGGGAAGCCGTGGTGTTCTCTTTCTGCATTCCATTCCCATGGATTCCGCGGTGTCAGCGTTCGGTGTTTAATTTAATAATTTTATGTTCGCATAAGATAACAAGCGGAGCAACTTAGATTATGTGTTGTATTGTAAATTTAAATTTATATCCATTTCTATACATACATATTTGTTTATTAATTGATTAAAATTAATTTAATATTTTTTATTTCTTGCGACGGATAAACTTCTTATTAAATTGTATATATCGAGGATGCTCGCTGTCTATAGTTCGCGTCGTCCGGGCCCGCGCACCAGTAGCCAT